AAAAAAAAAAAAAAAAAAAAAAAAGAGAATCTCTAAGCCAATCTATAGGTATGTTTACCTTTGTCCAACTAATTACTCATCTAGCCACGCCCTCAGCTGTCTGTCCGTATGTAGCTACCTCTCTATCAATCCATCCCTCCATCCCTCTATCTATCTCTCTTTCTCTCTATCTACCCATCTACTTATTTATCTACCTCCTTCCCTCCGTCGCTATCCATCCATCTGTTCACCCAGGCTAATCCCTAAGCAAATCTATATGTATGTTTTAACTGTCTTCAGCTACTTACCTATCCATCCATTCATCTCGCTGCCCATCAAACTTATGCAATCAAGTAATTTGTCCGCCGGTTTCCCTCTGCGCAGTCGCTCACTCACCCCCTCCTGAGCCTGAGTGTGCTACTCATCAATTACTCCTTTGGGCATTTACTTAACTTTAGAGACGTACCTGGCCGCGATTTCGGCGTTTTCTGAACCGAAATCGTCAGGTCCTACTGATGGGAACTTGGACGTTTCTGGCCCCTTACGATTTCGATTCAAGAAACGCCAAAATTGCAGCCAGAAACGTCCAAGTTCAATGCCCAAAGGAGCATTGGCAGTTCTGCATATCCCCACTTTTTTCAGCATACAGGACGTACAGGACGTCACTATCAACGCTGCATGACGTTCACAGTTTCCCGTGTCGATCTATATTTAGGGTCATCAAGCCAGACGCAAACCATGCATCCTGATGTCCCGACTACGGAGAGGGAAATTAAAAAAAAAAAAAAAAAAAAAAAAAACAGCCACACATAACACCACATCCCCATGCTAGATCAATGCAACTTCGTCCTCATAATGCTATTGCATTTTCTTGTCCTATTTCTGTTTTTTTATTTCCTCTTTATACATACATACATACATACATACATACATACATATATGCATACATACATATACATACATACATATATACATATATACATGTGTATTTTTTTAATGTGACAAGACCTTTCTCTGTTTCGTGGATGTTTTGCTGGCTTGTGATCGGTTGTAAACCGACAGTCTGCAGAGTTTTCCATCTGGTGTGGGTGAGTGAGATAGTCTGCTTTGATTTTCACCACAGGTACACTTGAGGGCAGTGGTTGGTGGTCCCCACCACCTCAGAGGGGTATCAGTTGTCGGGCAGTCGTTGATACTTAACCACAACCGGGGTTAAGGTGGATTATCCCTTACGGTGTAATCAGTAGTAAGTTAGGGGATTCTGCAGACTGTTGAGGGTTCAGCCTACTGATTGATGAGCCGGTGAAACTCCGAGGAAAGAGTTTGTCACAGTCCCTCGTTTGTTGTCCTCTTCTCCCTCTCTGCCTCCTACGGTTTACCAGGCAGTTCTGTTTGACGATATATACATCCATATATACATTCACTCATTCACTCATTTATGCACATCCATTAATAGTTTATCAATTGATCAATCAATCATATACCGATCATACCGATCCACCTATCTAACCATCAAAATCCACCTACCTACATCTGAGCATAAAATTGTGAAGCCGCATGAGTGGCTGCGATTGTATGCATCTCTCTCTCTCTCTCTCTCTCTCTCTCTCTCTCTCTCTCTCTCTCTCTCTCTCTCTCTCTCTCTCTCTCTCTCTCTCTCTCTCATGATTGTATCGCATGATCAACCTCGGCCTCACAGTGATTGTCCACCTGCTACTGTTCCACACGCATGATCCTGGTCCAAAAGGTTGATCATGTACATGTATATCGATGGACATGTATGGCCACATATATTGTCACAAGAATATCAGAGCGCAAAAGCGAATTGCCATATATATATTGTCACAAGAATATCAGAGCGCAAAAACGAAAAAAAGAAAAAAGAAAAAAGAAAAAAAGAAAAAAAAATGATTTTTTATCTCCACCTGCTACTGTTCCACACGCATCCACAAGAAAACAGCAGCATAATTAAGCGCAAGCTCACTCTCAAGTGATATTCCGGTCGCTGTTCGAGCCGACCGAATGACTTTTTCTGACGCCCCAATCTACAGCCGGCCCCAAAACATCCCCCAGATCCCCACCAGTTCAGAGTACGGCCCGCAACGAGCATGAATCGCTTGCATCGCAGTTACTTCCGCAGATGTCAGCTTTTCTCCCCACAACCCCACCCGACAAAACTTGCCTATGCTGCTGCTGGATATCCTCGTGCACTGCGCATTGAGGAGCGTGTCTGTGTGTGCATGTGCGTGTGCACTGCCCATTGGACTGTGTGTACGTGTGTGTGCAACTAACTGCAAATTGGACTGTGTGTACGTGTGTGTTCATTGCCAATTGGGGGGAGCGGGGCGTAGGGCGCAGTGCACAGTGGGGTACGTGTGTGTGTTTGTGTGTGTTTGTGTGTGTTTGTGTGTGTTTGTGTGTGTTTGTGTGTGTTTGTGTGTGTTTGTGTGTGTTTGTGTGTGTTTGTGTGTGTACAGTGTGCACTGGTGCGTGCGTATGTGTTGGCATGCTCGCTGCACACAGCTCCACAAAAAATGCATGACTGTGCCAGACTGTTTCGCTTCTTCTCCTTCTTTTTCTCCTCCTCCTCCTCCTTCTTCTTCTTCTCCTCCTTCTCCTCCTCCTCCTCCTTCTCCTTTTTCTTCTTCTTCTCCTCCATCTTCTTCTTCTTCTTCTTCTTCTCCTCCTCCTCCTCCTCCTCCTCCTCCTCAGACTTTTCACCGGCTCGTCAGGAGTCTGAAACCCGATAGTGCGCGCGCGTGAGCGCGGGAAGTGTCTCTGTGCTTGCGTGCGTGCGTGCGTGCGTGTGTGTGTGTGTGTGTGTGTGCGTGCGTGTGTGCGTGTGTGTGTGTGTGCGTGTGTGTGTGTGTGTGTGTGTGTGGGTGTGGGTGTGGGTGTGTTTGTTTGTGTGTCGCGGGGAAGGAGGGCGATGCTGATCTGCGAGCAGACTCGGCATTGCCTAACCGATCACGCAGTGTACTGCCAATCTCTAACATTTCCTTCTCTATATCGCGCGTGGCCCGACATTGCATCACGATCGTCCATCTGCCTTCCTCTAGCCCCACACCCCCACACCCCCACGAGGAGTAATATAGCAACATGTGAAACCGAACGCAATAGTGGCCCGACAATGGTCAATCTAGGACAATCATGGTCCGACAATGGTTGTCGGCAAAGACGCAAAGGAGGAGGAGAAGGAGAGGAGAGGAGAGGTGACGGAGAGGTAAGAGAGAGAGAGAGAGAGAGAGAGAGAGAGAGAGAGAGAGAGAACTGACAGGGGATTGGGGGACGGAGGTGATCGAAGTACCTGGCTGAGCTGCAGTGCCACGCCGGCGAGACGCTCGCTGCCTGGAAGAATTCAGGAGCTTCCTCGATGGAACCGGCGTGCCGGAGAAACAGCCGCCAGTTAAATAGGCTAGACTCCTTGAGCGATTTCTGTCAACATAAGAAGAGCAGCACGTGGAGACGCCTTCTACCCCGCCGAGAATTGCAGGACAATCATAATGCAGAGCAGAAAAAGAAGAAGGAGAAGAGGAGGAAGAGGAGGAAGAAGGGGAAGAGGAGGAAGAAGGGGAAGCGGAAGATCCAGCCAGCGCAATACACGGCACCTGGCGCTTCGTGGCGGCGCTCAGGCTACCGGTAGTGCTGCATGACGTAATGCGCCCCGCGAACGATGCTGCGGCAGCGCTGGACATGGCAGCAGGAGAAACAACGCCAGCCGCCATCGCCAATCTTCAGCGAGAGAGACAGGCAAGGAGACACAAGGAGGACGAAACCGAAGCGATCAGAGGAAAGAATTGATAGCACGAGCACGGACATCAGAGCACGATACGGCGATGGTGGGATACGGCAATTTTGCCGCCGAGGAACCCTTCACCACAAAACGGCGGGAGTTCAAAGGCGGTAATCGCCGCTTCCCTCCTCGGCGACTGGCATTTTTTTGCAGGGAAAACAATCCGCCGCTTTTGACAACCCCCTCCCTACTCCACCTACCGCGACCGTCCCCGGGGCAAGGTCCACTTGCATGGAATTAAGAGATTCTGGCCGTTGATCTTTGCTATCTACGGTCAATATATCTCTTAATTCGTGTAAGTGGGACCTAGCCCCCGCCTTGCGTAGACGTAGATGGCGGCAGCCGCCCGCCATGCCGCCCAAACGCGGCGCGCGATCGACCCACGTGCGGTCGTGTAGAGTAGGTGCGGCCCGCGGGCGACCCCGCTGAACCGCACGTACGCACGATATCTGACGGTCTAGGGTCTCTCCCTCGTTTTTGTGACGGTTTTGACGGCCTGACCGGTTTCCTATTGGTTCCCACGACCACGGACGGCCTAGCGGGGGTAACGGAGTGGGCCGTTGAAAACTACTACGGACTCGTTTCCTCGCTAGTTTTCAACACGGCCTCCTCCTCTGCGGGGGCCGGGTCCCATCTGCGCATTGTCGTTGTAGGACTAGCGACTGGCGGCCGTCTTGGACCATCGATTTTGTCAATCCATGGTTCTTAGGCGCCCGCCGTTCTCTTCGTGGTAGCCTCCTACAACGAAAATGCACAGGTGGGACCAAGCCCCGGTTCATGAAATAGAGGGAAAGTGAACAAGCTCTCGGGTTTGCATCACACCTCAGACCATCTGTCAGCAATTATCCAGCCCATCCCAGCAGAGTGGACACTTAGGGCCTCGCCACACCATTGACTTACCGTGAGGGCGAGCGTGCGCAGCCCGTAGTTCCTTCGTTTATGTGGTTCGGGAAGGGTAAGGTAGTGAATATGCTGTATGTATGTTTTGTCATGTTCGCTATACACAACTCGAAGAGAGTGTGTGTGTGGGATCCCGGTTGATGCTTTATTCACGATGTTCATGGGACGCTGGACCCAGTTTCCAGCAGGTGGCACTCCCCATCAATAGACAGGAGGACGTATGTGTGTGTGTGTGTGTGTGTGTGTGTGTGTGTGTGTGTGTGTGTGTGTGTGTGTGTGTGTGTGAGAGAGAGAGAGTG